CTCCTCCTCCTCCTCCTCCTCCTCCTCCTCCTCCTCCTCCTCCTCCTTCTTCTTCTTCTTTTAGTTCAGGGCTCAAACCAAGAGTCACACATGCCAGGAAAGCACTGTCCTCTGAACTACATCCTAAACCTTCCTGCATTTTTGAGACAGGGTCTCACGTAAGCCCAGACAGACCTGGAACTCACTATTTGGCTCAGGCTAGCCTCAAATTCTTGCAGGTTGTTCTGCCCAGCTTTCTGAGTGCTGAAATTACATGCCCAGTTAGTAAATAGATATTTTAAAATATATTTTATATTAAAATGCACACACACATATATGAGAGCACGTCGTCTCATATACTTTCTGTTTTGTGGTTGCTTTTGTTTTGTGAGACAAAAGTCTCATATGGCCCAGGTAGGACTCAAACACTCTTACTAGGGGATGACCTTCAACTCCTGATCTTCCTGCTTCTAACTGCCAAGTTCTAGGCTTACAGGCACAGGCCACCACATCTGGCTGAAGTCATTCTCCTGACTAAACCATGGATCATTAACATTCATGAACTAGCCGGGTGGTGGTGGCACACGCCTTTAATCCCAGCACTTGGGAGGCAGAGGCACATGGATTTCTGAGTTCGAGGCCAGCCTGGTCTACAGAGTGAGTTCCAGGACAGCCAGGGCTACACAGAGAAACCCTGTCTCGAAAAACAAAAAACAAAAGAAAACAAAAAATCATGAAATGTTTTGGATCAAATGTTTAGTTACAAGATAATCAGTTAAGCTTTGCAGAAGGATTGCAGAGACACACATGCTTATAAGGCTAACAGGATGGCTTTTATTTGTTTGTTTCTATAAGTTTGAGTAATCAGTTAAATTTTTCTACCTGTGGTGGCGAAAGCTGTGATCCCTTTTATACTGTGAATACCTCTTGGGGTGGGGTGTCGAGTGACTGTCATGTATCAGGTACTGTTCTGAGTTCCTTGGGGTACAATAGTGAAGCAAAGGCCCATGGGTTTGGCGAGGTTTGCATTTTAATGAGGAGACTGATAAAAACAATAAGGAAGAAGTTCTCTGTGTGTCAGGGAGAGATGTGTTGGAGAGGGTGCTGGGATGTGCTTCCCCAGGAAACAGGCTTAAGTGGGAGCTGGAAATTGCTTATCTTGGGAAGAGATTTCTAGGCAGAGGAAAAGCCTCGGATTGGTACACTGCTCCTAGCTGGCCAAAGCCGGTCCTGATTAGCTGGTCCAGCTTTCCCTTTTACCAATCAAATGGATTGAATTAGAGAAGCACAAGCTATCACAGTGAACTCACTTTGATGAACTTTATGTCCAGAGACTCCAGGTGGGGCTGAGGAGCTCAGAGGGCCTTCCTGTCTTCGGGCCACTCACACTTGCTCCACAAGATGGCCAGTTTCCAACAGGCACTTCCGTGATTTTAGCTACCCTCTCACTTCCTACTCCACTGGGGGAAAAAAACTCCAGGCTATTAGAAGGGCTTCCATTCTATTAATAAGATCTCAGTGTCATTGTCCTTGCTAGCCCACTGCTTACTCAAAACCCTTCCTCTCTATTCCTGAGCAGGACAGTGCATTGGAGTTCAGGCCCTGTCTCTGCAGGATGTCTCCCCACACTCCTCTTCCTTCCATGTTAACAATGCTTTCTCCACAGGCCCTGCTCACTAGGTCGTTCCTGCCAGCTTTGAAACGGGCTCTGCTACCTACGGTATGTTTTCAGTCTCTAATTTTTATAGTGCTGATGATCAAACTTAGGACCTTGCCTATGATAGGCAAATGGTCAAATGATCTTCCACCAAGACAAATCGCCAGCACTCAGCCCTCTGTTTTTTGTGTTTTTTTTTGTTTTTTTAATTTTGAGACAGAGTCTCACTAAGTTGTCTATGCTACCTTGAACTTACTTTTTAGTCCAGACAGGCCTCAGACTTATGACTCTCCTAACTTACTCTCTTGAGTAACTAGGAATACACCACCAGATCTAGAAATATTTTGCTTTTTAAACAACTGATACATGCTGGGCGGTGGTGGCGCACGCCTTTAATCCCAGAACTTGGGAGGCAGAAGCAGGCAGATTTCTGAGTTCGAGGCCAGCCTGGTCTACAGAGTGAGTTCCAGGACAGCCAGGGCTATACAGAGAAACCCTGTCTCCAAAAAAAAAAAAAAAAAAAAAAAAACCACCAAAAAAAACAACTGATGACAAGAATAAATACATTTAGAAAATATCCACCCATCCATCCACCCACCCATCCATCTATTAATTCATCCTTTCATTTAGTGTATGTTGGAGGAGTCGGAGCTACTGTATAGTTTCTGGAAATCAAACTCAGGACATCAGGCTTGGCAGCAAGTGCCTTTACCCGCTGAACCATCTTACAAGTCCTGAACACATCCTTTTTTTTTTTTTTTTTTTTTTTTTTTCCGAGACAGAGTTTCTCTGTGTAGCCCTGGCTGTCCTGGAAATCACTTGGTAGACCAGGCTGGCCTCAAACTCAGAAATCCGCCTGCCTCTGCCTCCCAAGTGCTGGGATTAAAGGCATGTGTCACCACCACCCGGCGAACACATCCTTTGAGATACTAGTCAGCACATGTTTTCAAATACATGAGACAGACAAAAGTGTCCTATATTAAATAATTGTGACATTAAATAAATGCCACATTAATTTGGCACATAAATGTGGCATTAATTAAATAAATAATTTCTGTGTGCAGAATTAGAAATTTTTTTTGATCTCGTCAGTATTGAATTGAACAGCAGCAGTAAAACATTCACAGCCTCCTGACCATTTTGAACATTGTGTATCTGTGTTTTGCTCACAAGTATATGTTTCACATGCATGCAGTGCCTAGAGAGACCAGAAGAGGGCATTGGAGCAGCCAATTGGTGCATTGAGCCACCATGTGGATGCTGGGAATCAAACCCAGGTCCTCTGGAATAACAGCTAGTGCTCTTAACTACTGACCCATCTCCCCATTTTCCAGCACTTCTAAGAATCACTCTCATGATGGTATATAGGACGCCATCTTTATAAGCTGCTGTTATTATTTCGTGGTTGTTTTGGGGATGGAACCCAGGCCCTCGAGTATACTCAGCAAGTGTTCTACCACTGGTTGTAGCTCTAGGTATGGGAGATGGTTTTGAAATAAAGATATTTAATCCTGGGCTAGAAAGATGCCTCAGCAGTAAAGAACACATATTGCTCTTGCAAAGGACTGGAGTTCAGTTCCTAGTACTTACATGGGAAAACACCTGTGACTCCATTTCTGGGGTTTCTGATTCTCTCTCTGGCCTACAAGAACATCTGCTCTCTCTTTCTCTCTCCCACCCCCACACACATATACATATAATTTAAAAAATAAAATAACTCTTTAAAACCTAATTCTAGTATACTGCTTCATCAAATTGTATTGTGCAAATAGTCTTCCCATCCCACAGATGCTGTAAAATGCAAATCTGGGGTCAGTAGTTTGGGGCTGGAGCCTGGGACTCTTAGTTTTCAACAAATATCCTGGACATTCAGAGTCTACAGGTCAGTGAACCATTCTTGCGTTTAGAGAATATAAGAATATAAGCATTTCCATATGTATTATCTTACTTGTTCCTTGTCACAGCTCTATAGCGATTCACCAAGATATATATGTTCAACCAAATCCAGCACATATACGGGTGTAATGAAGTGGATAACTGACCAGCAGGCAAACAAAAAGGATATGCAGACCAACAGCTGGAGTTGACCTTCCGTATCTAGAGCTCCGAATCTAAACAAGGGTAGAAAATACTCAGGAAAAAAAATGTGTTTGGGTTAAACACGTACAGATTTCATTTTCTTGCCATGATTCCTGAAAAACAACAACAAAACAAAAAAACAACAAAAATGCTAAGAACTGTTTGCATAACGTTTACATCTCAGTAGGTAGTATAAGGAGAGACCTAGAAACATGTAAAGTAGATGCGGGGAAGCCTGCAGGTTAGTGACTTCAGCTCCCTGGATTTAAATAGTGTTCAAAACCAAGCAGGAAATAAAGGGGTTGTAGGTTGGGGTAAGTTTATGGGGAGGTGATTTTAGCTGGGGAGGAGAGAAGAGCCACCGGGTCATGAGCAGGCTCTATGCAGGCACTAGGAAATTCCATCCACCGGGAGTTCAGGGAGGGAAAGCCCCAAAGCAGAGGGAGGATAGGTGGAGCAGTCATGCCTGTTTGTAGGAGAAGTGAAGGCGTGTCTTCAAAATAAGCCTTGAGGGTTGAAGATCAAGAGTGACAGGCCTGGAATTTGTTTTAGATCATGCTGGCGGCTGTGCGGGACTATCCCCGGTCACCTAGGAGCTATGTATGTTATTGCGAGCCCTGGCAACCTGGAGTGGTGAGGACCAGCTAGAGGTTCAAGAAACCCAGTACGGACGACAGGTCTCTCTGAGCACACTTAGGACGTCCAACACAAATGCGCTCCAAGGGATCGCTTTAATCCCGCCCCCCACTCTTTTCTTTCTTTCAGAGGATCTGGGCCTCCCTCCTTCTATGCTTTGCTGATTGTGTGGACCTCTGGGGCTCTGGTCCTTCTTTGCCTCAGCCTCTCTGCAAAGAGACCCGGACACAGCAACACCCTAAGGATTTTTTGCAGCTGAGCTCCTTAGAGCCTGTCGTCCCGTTCCTCGGGGAAACGGCGCTTCAAGCAGCCAGGGGCCTGGACACCGAACTCCAGACGCCGTGTTCCCTCCCTGGAGACTCCCTCAGCGCTGCCAGGGGTGGAGCCCGTGCGGCACACTCGAGGGGATCCGAGGGGGGCTCGGCGCACCCTCGACTATCCGGCAGCGGTTGCGACTCTCTCCCAGTGCCCAGCGAGGGACGCCGAAGCGCGGCGTGCGCACCGTTGGCCTGCAGGGGGCGCCCGCGCCCCGGCCCGCCCTCCAGGCCTCCGCCCGCGCCCCTGAGCGGCCCGGGGCGGGCGCAGCCGGCCAGCGAGCTCCGGAGATCGACTGCCCGCGCGCTCACTTCCGCGTCCCGCCGCCGGCCGCCGCCATCGGACAATGGGCCGCGCGCCGCGGCTGCAGTGAGCTCGGCTGGATCCGGCCGCCTGCCCGCCCGCCCCAGGCCGGGGGCTGCCCAGTGCGTTTGCAAGTTCGGTTGCCAGACGTGGATGTGAGCTTACTTTTTCTGGGTACGTTCTCTGTCTTCTTTCGCCTGTTTTGGGTTTTATGACTTGGAGAAGGGAACTTTTCTAAGCAGGCCGGGCAGGGACTGAAGGCTACTCTGCCCCCACGTGGACTCTCCCCAGGGGAAAAGAAGTCTGAAAGTAAACTTAGCGCCGCAGGCCTGAAGGCCTCAACTTTGGCTGGACTGAAAGTTTTGGAGTCATGACCTTCTCGCTGAGCAGGTGGGAATCTTTATCTGCCTTGGGCTGGACCTGAAACCTCGACCAGCACCCAACTCTCCCCCACCCCATACACACCTTGTACCAGGCTAGGCCCCGGACACTGATCTACAACATGGATAAATACGATGATCTCGGCCTTGAGGCCAGTAAGTTCATCGAGGACTTGAACATGTATGAGGCCTCCAAGGATGGGCTCTTCCGGGTGGACAAGGGTGCTGGCAACAACCCAGAATTTGAGGAAACTCGAAGGGTGTTCGCGACCAAGATGGCCAAAATCCACCTCCAACAACAGCAGCACCAGCAGCTTCTACAAGAGGAGGCCCTACCTCGGGCAGTCAGAAGCCCTGTCAACGGTGGGAACCGTCAGGGTGTGAGCAGCAAGCTGGCTGCAGATGGGGCGGCTAAGCCTCCTCTGGCTGTGCCAACAGTGGCACCTAGCTTAGCTACCACCACTGCGGCCGTGCAGCCCTCATACCCATCCCAGGAGCAGAGGACCAGGCCATCTGCCCATGGTGCAAGACCTGGCAGTCAGAACTGTGCTTCCAGGGAGGGGCCTGTGAGTTCCCAGAGACCTGCTTTACACGGTCTGGGTCCCTGTGAAGACCCTTCCTGCCTCACTCACGGAGACTATTATGACAATTTCTCTTTGGCAAGCCCACAGTTGGGTGATAAACCAGAGGAATCCCCTAGCAGCACGAGTCTGAGTGTAGGGAGTGGATGGCCTGGTTGCCCAGGGAATGATTCCCAATTGCCCAGATCCTGTGGGGACCGTCACCCTTACCAGCCACAGCTCTCTGTATGCTCTGGCAGGTCTTTTGAAAGTGGCATAAGTGGCCAAGACGGTGGCATGGGTGGCCATAGCAGTGAGAAGCCAACAGGCCTTTGGTCCACTGCCTCCTCTCAGCGTGTGAACCTCGGCTTTTCTTCCATGGGCTTGGAGAATGGGACCTCAGCTCAACCCAAGGGCACAACTGTTTCAGCACCGATGGTCCCTAGCAGCGCTAGCCAAGGAGCTTGTCCCAGAAGAGATTCAGGTCTGGGATATGAGGCTTCAGGCAGGGTCTTCAAACCCCTTGTGGACACTCAGCCTTGGCTCCAGCATGGGCCTGAGTCTTACCTCTCTGTTTCTGCTCCATTATCCTCAACAACTGGCACGGACAGTGCCCAGTCAGGTGTGACCACTGGGCTGGATGCTAAGCTTGGATGCGTGGAGTCTGGCACTAGTCCCAAGCCCAGCCCCACCAGTAATGTCCATCCGGTAATGTCCACTCCGTCTGAGTTATCTTGTAAAGAGAGTCCTCCCAGCAGGTCCACTGACAGTAGCCTGGGACCTGTGCTCCCAGAGAGCCCCACCCCCTCCAGGGTGAGGTTGCCCTGCCAGACCCTTGCACCAGGCCCAGAGCTTGGACCCACCACTGCGGAATTGAAATTAGAAGCCCTTACCCAGCGTCTGGAGCGAGAGATGGATGCTCACCCCAAAGCAGACTACTTTGGTAAGTAAGATGCTTTGGAGTTGCCTGCGGTGGAGTGACAGTGTCCACACTAGGATGCTACAGCCGATCTTGAAGTGGCCTGCTATTGTTTTCTCCTTCGTCTTTCAGCTACTTCTGCTCCTTTAGAAACTTGAAAGCAGCTGTGGGCAGAAGGCAGCCTTTGCGTACGGGAGTTACCCGTGTGTGCACTTGTGAAGCAGGTTGGGATTGCTCATAACTGTCCTCAAAAAAGGGAAGTGAAACTGGGAGGTGGTGGTGCATGTCTTTAATCCCAGCACTTTGGAGGCAGGGGCAAGAGGATCTCTGAGTTTGAGGGCAGCCTGGTCTATATAGCATGAGTTCTAGGACAGAGAAACCCTGTCTTGACAAACCAAACCAACCAACCAACCAAACAAACAAACAAACAGAAAAAGAGGGATATGCTGTGTGTTTGAGTTTCTACGGTCTGAGGTACCACCTCAAGCCTCTTGCAGTGACTGGCTTGAGCTGGACTTGAATTGGAACATTTTTCCTAGAGCCAAACTTATGGTTGTTCTACATGGTGTAAGAGTGTGGAATGTGTGGCTTTTGTTCTTGCCTGCTGTTCAGTATGGTGGTTCTGCAGGTAGACCTGTACCAGCATCGTATCTTTGCCCAGATGCTGGTTCCAAAAGGAAATCTTTAGCCCCTCCTTGATCTGCTGCAGCAGGAACTCAGGGTAAGAAGATCCAAGGAGAGCTAATTCTGCAGGATCACAACAACAAATGGGCTGGGTGCCTCTTGACTCAGTCCACACCCAGGCACCAGCCGCAGCAGGTGATACCCACAGGTGTGGCCTGAAAGAAGATGAAGGTGCTTCCTGAGGCTCTTACCCAAGGTTGCAGATTTCATTCTCTCTTCTAAAAAAAAAGCCACAAACTCTTTACAGACGACTGGCTTCAACTTTTATTTCTGCATGGGGTTTGGAGGCAACAAGAAAGTAGCTGTATTCCTTTGTTAAAAACAGTGGCCTGTCTCATGGGAGGGTGACTTGGAAAGACAGCCTGTGCTTAGGAGTCTGTGGCTTTTTTCATCTTTTATTTTTTTTTTTCTCTTTCCATTTTTGGCTTCATGAGTAATGGGTTCATGATTTCTCCAAAGTCTAAGTCCTACCAAATAGTAGCTCCACCAGTAGAGGAGGGCTGAGTCAGGGAAGGCCCTTGAGGGAAAGATGCTGGCTTTTTCCTACTCTCCGAAAGAACCGATTTGTCCTGAGACCTTGGGAGGGTCACAAGCCCAAAGAGACGGGCCGTGGGCATATGTGCAGTCCATAGTAGTGCTGAGCTCTGCTTATTATGAGCAGCTCTGGGAACTAGTGCTCACGACACTCAGCAATCAGAGGTCATGGTTGCTGTTAAGTGGTTTCTTCTTAGATTTATTTATTTTATTATTTTATGTATGTGAGTGTTTTGTCTGTGTGTATGTGTGTATGTGTACCACAAGCATGTCTAATGTTGGTAGAAATCAGGAGAGGGCTTCAGATTGCCCGGGACTGGAGTTACAGATGGTTATGAGCCCCTATGTGGGTGCTGGGAGTCGAACCTGGGTCCTCTACAAGAGCAACAAGTGTTCTTAACTGGTGAGCTAACTCTCTAGCTCCTTGTTTTGTTTTGTTTTAAGTGTAAAGCACTTTCTTGCTGTGAACTGCCCCATCTTGTTTGCAAAGACTGACCTTGAGAAATAATATTTAGCTGGAGATGTGGTGTATCTTTTAATTTAAACTTACTGTTTTTAATTTAAAGCTCATAGAACAAAACCATTTGTTCAGGGGTGCTAGTTCATGTTCACCATCAGAACACTGATATTGACCCATACTCTATTCATTCATTCTCCAAGCATTGATCACCTGTCTGGGGTTGTGCTCCGGGCCAGGCCTTGGGAATCACAGTGGATAGACAGTACAAGCAGTAGGAAATGATCAAGTACAAGGGAGAGAGAAATTTTAGGATGACGCCTTGTCCTGTGGGTGACATTACTTGTTTTGATCTGGGTCGTAAAGTGAGGTCTCAACTGAGAAGATTCCGTTTGGGCAGAAGCTCGAAGGTCAAGGAATGATGGGACCACTGCGTACCTTTGTAGGGAAAGGGTGGAGTTTGTGGAGCTCACGGCAGGGGAGAGTCTGCCCTGTGGCTGCTTTGATGGTGGAATGTCTATCTCTGACTAATCTTGTGGCAGGAAAATTCCTCCCTTTAAGGGCTCAGCAGGCAAGTTTTGACAGACTGTGCGCTTTCCCAGGCAGCCCTCCCTTGCCTTTAACCAATTACCCAGGCCTTTCCCCCTCCCTAGGGTCTCATAGTACTTGCAAGATTCGGAATATATTAAGTCATGTATTAAACTTTTGCTTCCAGGTAGGATATTATTTCATGGCACAGCACTTTTGCCAAAGGGAGCTGAGGTGTCCTCTCACTATCAGTCAGTAGAACTCTAGTCAGAAGCAAGAAAGACTGACGTCTGGTTTGTTAGCCTAGATACCTTCCTGAACTAGACTGAAGGTGTCTCTTGAGCATCTGATTCTGGGCAGTGCGTTTGTCTCTTCCCCTTCACGGCCAGTGAATGCTGTTGGATTCTGAAGATACCCAGTTTCTGGTTATTTAATGGTTTTAAACCTTTTATTAATGGGGGAGGGGTAGGTGGGTACCGTGGTATGTGTATGGAGGTCAGAGGAACACTTGTGGGAGTCAGTTCTTATTCTACCATGTGGGCCCTGGAGGCAGGTTTGGCAGCAAGTGCCTTTACCTTTTGAGCCATCTCGCTGGCCCTGGTTTTGATTATTTGTTAGTTTAACTTTGCATGGATGTCGTTGTATATCTCTGTGTGTTGTTTTTGTTTTTAATTATTAATTAATTAATTAAAACTTGAGACAGGGTCCCACTCTATAGCTTAGGCCATAGCTCTCAATGACCTTCCTGTCTCAGCTCCATGAGTGCTGTGACGATGGATATTAGCTACTGCCTCGGGCTCCCTTATGTGTCTAGACAGGCCTTATTTCCTTCCACTGTGCCCCTGTGTTCTCTGGGACTCTTCTGTGGCTCTTTCTAGCCCATGAGGAAATATAATTGTGCATATTTATGAAACAGTAGACGGCATACCATTTCAGCACAAAGGACAGGAGGCAAATGGCGGCGCTTGGTATTGCCATTCCTCAGACTCCTGTCATTTCTTTGTGTTTCACAATCCTATTAGGTCCCTGGAAACATCCAGTCATCTGTCCTCAGCTATTGTCGTCACACACACACACACACACACACCACACACCACACACCACACACCACACACCACACACCACACACCACACACCACACACCACACACCGTGTATAAGACATGAGATGTTGTTCCTGTCCAGTCCTGGCTCATCCTTTCCCACCCTACCCAGTCTCTGTTCTGCTCTGGTAACCACTGGTCTGTTCTCTGCTTCTTTGAAATCAACTCTTAAACTTTTATATCTCAATGACGGTATGTGGTATTCATCTTTCTGCCTGATTTACTTCATCTCACAGGGTGAATGCCGCTGGTGCTCTGTCGGGGATGCTTTTGGGCTCCCGGATTCCCTGGTGCTCATTGCTCTTAGAAGATACTGTTCACACAGAAGAACTTCTGTTTTCATGAAGCTGTTCATGCCACCGAGAGGAGATGGAGATTCAGGGTGCCATGGCCTTGTTTATTTAGGCCCTAACTTTTCCTCCTCAATCTGGGTCCTCTCCTCCCTTACTAAGGCCCAAAGCACCATCTCAGCCTGGCTTTCTTGGAAGCTAACTCTGAGACTTTGTTTTGGAGGGTGCTCACTGAGTGGTACTCTTGGGGTCCACATCTGACCCCATAGGGAGGCAGCAAAGTCTAATGTTGTCTTGACCCGGCTTTCACACACTTCCTTCAGGGATCAGCCACTGGATGTGGGTTGCCCTGGGAGTTGAGTGACCTTGGGTGGAGTGGTTTGTACAGCTGGGGTAGTCCCCCTAGGGCTGATGACAAGCGAAGGCTACCCGCCAGTCTCACACTAGCAACTGGGTCACTGCTCCATCAATGAACACCCACCACAACTGCACTTCTGGTGCTGGGAAGGACATGTTACCTTGGGCACCCTGGTTCTGATAACAGCTGCTGTCTGGTGAAGGCCAAGCATTGGGAGACACTGTTGCCAGCCATTCACAGCTTGTTCTCTGTTATAAACAAGGAACTGTGACACAAAGGTTCAGTGACTTGCCCCCAGACCACCCCAGCTTTTTCCTCTTAGGTGGGACTAATGGTCTCCCAGGTCTGGCTTAGATATCCTCTGTTCATCTACCCAGGAGAATGCAAGCTTTTCCCCAGCTGGGAGAAGGCTCTGTCCCCCTCTGCTATGTTCATGGGTGAAGATCTGAAGATTAGAAAACATAGGTAGAAGAGTCTCTTTTCCCCAGAAGTAGAGAATGGACCTCTCCCCACCTATAAAGACACAGAGAGACTTACTCTGTCTTCAGCTTTTCAGTGCTTGACCCTGTACTTAGGCACCAGGACACAGGATATGATTTCCCCTAGGAATGGCTCTGTCCCTGCCTGGGCCCATCAAGGCCCACTGGTTTCATTTTAGAGGCTATGTAGAGGGTGAATTGAGCAGCCTAAACAAGAAGTCATCACAGACCAGACTGTCCTGCCTGTTCCTCTGTGTAACATTTTTGTCTTTCTTTACTTTTACTTTTTTGAAACAGGGGTCTTATGTAGCCCAGGCTAGCCTTGAGCTCTCTAGCTGAAGATGACCTTGGACCTGCTCATCTTCCTGAAGCCACAGTGTATTTGGGGGTGAGTGGAAAGTCCATGAGTCATCCGAGTGAAATGAGGTCTAGGGATGGCCAGGAGTTAGTGACACTGGTATACAGAATGCCCTACTGCAGGATATGACCTGAGGAATTGACAGGGATGCCTTCTGTGTGGTCAGTGGTTAGGATTCAGATAATATTTTGGTCCTCTGTGTCTTCTGAAAGGCTTCTTCTCACCCACATCTCA